AGCCATCCACAGAAAAAAAATCATGAAGACAAGATGAAGGGGACAGAAGTAATGCAATTATTAAAGGCATCTCGATTCTGATGCCACTCCAGAGATAAGTCTCAGGAAATGAATAAGAACTCAGCCTCCCTATAGAAGCACTGTACATGGAATTTAATATAATTTCATATAACTCTGAAACACATGGACTTGCTTAGACTTCACACAGAAATGAACAAAGGGAATAGTAGAGAAGCAGGTTTAAGTGGGGAGAGAGATGGTAGGAGAGGACAAGGAAGGATTTGGGAAACAAATAATTAACACTGAGGACCTTTGTAAAAAACCAGAAGGAAACTATCATTTTATAAGATTCCTAAAAGTAATCTTATAAAAGAGTTTAATTGGAGGGAGCTAGAAAGATGGCTCAGTGGATGAGTGCACTTGTTCTTGTAGTGGAGCTGGGTCCAGTTTCCTGCACTCACAACCATCAGTAACTCCAATTCCAGCACAGCATCTGATCTCCAAGGAAAGCAATTACACATATAAAATAAATAAGTCAAAACTTTTGAAAAGTTTAATCAGAATTCTCCTATACATGAGATAAAGCTCCTCCTAGAAGCCACAGGTTGCCAGCTAGAAAGCCCAGCGCCAGGTGTGACATACCTCCCCTCTTGGTTGGTCATGATTATCCCAGAGACCCTCCAACACAACACAATTCGTTGACCTTGCTTGGTTGCCCATAGTACTTGATAGTAGGCCCTATTGCTAAACACAGAAAACCCTTTGATCACAGGGCATGAAAAATGAGCTGGCCTGAGCAAAAACTTCCTTCCATGGCTAGATTTCATAGCACTAGAAGGTGTTATGTAGGCTGCAAGGGATAAAAAATAGCATTCTTACACAGCCTGAAACTCTATGAGCTCAGGTAACAACCTGTGGGGCAACATACGGCTCTAGTGGCATAAATGTTATATGAGTAATTATAGCTTTCTGACTGTATTTACAGGTTATCTCATAGGATGAAAGTATCTCACCAGTACTGTGGATCGTGCGTAATAATAATGATGATGGTGATAATAAGAATAATGAAGCCTAGGTCCTAGAGGCTATTATTTTGCCAAATAGATACAGTATCCAACTATCCTCTAAATTGACATCTCTATATCTATAGAGTAGTACAGCTCTCAGATTATACCCAGGCAAGTTTCTCAGTGCAGTGGACGGTGTTTAACTCAGAAACTCACAACTTGTCAAAGAAAATGAATGTCATTGGAATTCTCAGCCACAAATGTGGGAGGTGTGTGTGTATGTGTGTGTGTGTGTGAGAGAGAGAGAGAGAGAGAGAGAGAGAGAGAGAGAGAGAGAGAGAGATCTCCTTTCCCCTAAGACTTAGAGACCATTACAAAAGAGAAAATATTAGGAGCCAGAAGTCAGGGAAGATCAGAGAAAAACTGTGTCTTCTAGATATGATAGGACTGTTGTCCTCTTGAACTCAAGAGCAGCTGTGGTTGCCTGCCACAAGATCAAGCCTATCAATATTCCACCATGGAGCAGGAAGGGGCTCATGAGCACCACCCATAGCTGTGAAGCTATTTGAGGTTAATGGCTTCTGGAAGCGGGAGACTCAGTTTTCTCTAAGGGTATAGACTCTGGAAGGTTAACTATGCTCCAGTGGATATTCCCCAAGAGTATATGGGCAGCACAAATAAAATTATGGATTATTCTTTTAAAAACAGGACACAGGAACACAGGAGAAGGGTGGAGAAGTGAGGGCTGATCTGAGAAGAGGTGGGGAGAGGAGTGGGAGGTGATTATGATCAAAATGTAGTGTATGTATATGAAGTTGTCAAAGAAATAACAAAAATATATGCACATGTATATATATATATATAATGTATATATATAATGCACAGAAATGTGTGTGTGTATGTGAGAGAGAGAGAGAGAGAGAGAGAGAGAGAGAGAAACAAAATGATGTGTAATACACAGAGTTATTGAACAGAACACTATTCTTTGCATTATTGGGTTTCCAAGGAATGTAGCCTATGGCTGAGTAACTCATCTGGGAAAAGCTCGCTGTGACCACCATAGGAAGTCAGTGCATGTGGCAATGCCTAAGAGATGCTGTCACTTTAGGTGGAATCTGGATCTTCCCCTCTGGATCCATGCAGGTAAAGAGAGAGTTAGAGTTATCAACTACAACAAGAGTGTTCTGATTTTCTCCTTGTCTAAATATCAAGTAAACTCAACTGAAATGAAATAATAAAGAGTTATACCTTTGTCTTGGTTTTTGTAAATTCTAGGACTCCCAGGGTAACTTTCCATCTCCAGTTTGGGAGGAAGCATATTGACTAGTATCTGATAACATAGGATAAACTTCTTAGCTTTAGAAAGATCCCTTTATTGTTGAAAAGTACTACATTTATGTTCCTGTTTAGGTTTTCCAATAAAACTCTTGTTTATATTTACAAGTCAACTGAATTATAAAATCAGATCTTCCTGCCAGTTCTATTACCTATTGAGAATATGATTACCATTCTCCCCAGATAAACGAACAACTGAATCCCACAAGTCCAGGCAAAGCAACAACATTCAAGTCATTAACAACCAAACAGTTCCAATAACCTGTTAGACTCCTAGAGTGTTTTCCTTTCTCACAATCTGCCGAGTTTTAACACACTTCAGGAAGCACAGGTTCTTCCGATGCAGTAATTTAGCCATGGTAGAAACCAGTTCAAGAAGGGTTGACTGCAGGGATGGCCCTGCTCCTCACATTGGCACATTAAAGAAATTCCAAATTAAAGGAATTTGGGGTTTGCTTTCAAATAAGCTAGGAATGTAGATTTTCTGTAAGAATACCCCCATAGGCTCAAGGATTTGTATGACTGTCACTAGGGGATGGCAAATAAGAAGTGTTGCCTTCCTGGAGTAGGTAAGGCCTTGGTAGAAGAAGCAAGTGATTGGAGGTGGGGTTTGGTATTTCAAATGCTCAAGCCAGTCCCAGTGCTCTCTCTCCCTGCTGCCTGCCTATCTGGATGCAGAACTCTTAGCTCCTTCTCCAGCACTAGTCTGCCTGCATGTCACCATGCTTCCTGCCATGATGACAATGGACTAAACTTTTAGAACTGTAAGCCAGCCCCCAATATTCCCCTTTGTAAAAAAAAAACCACATATATTTCAGTAAATGATAAATACTGTGTATCATATCCAACATGGAACAGGAAGAGACAAGTAACACTTCTCAGAGAAGGACCTGGGATGAATGTCAGCTTCCTAAACAGTACACAGGCCTGCATCTCATATATTTAAGACACCACAATGCACTAATAATTGTGGGAAATTCAACTGAAAACCCAGTGGCTGTAGTTAGCTTTCGACTTCCGGCCCTCCTCACCCCCCAAACTTTCTTAGTCTAATGTCAAAGGCCAATAGCTGGATAGCCTGGAGGTATTCTGAATACAAGCATGCTTTAGAATTTTGAGAAGTTTCAGCGTGCCTTTCTGAAGCAAGGGATAAAAATTAGGAAGATTCTAAGCATTCAGTTTTGGCTAGATGAGTCCATTCGCAAGGACAAAAGGAGACAGTTCAGCAGCTCTAACAGTCTGCCAAGTGAAAGTTCTCATTAGTCACTTGAAAGGCTAGCCGAACCAATCAGTAGGAATGTCCTGAACAAGGTGTAAGGCAGCATTTTCACTTCCTTCTCTAGAAGACGAGAGATTTCTTGCTAGTAAGAATAGGAAGTACCATAATCCTGCCAGGAAATCTCCCTTAGAGCCATCCCATGAAATCTTACTACGTGGGAAAACACTCAGGTTTGTCCTGTCACTGCCTCCTCCAAGTACAACCTCAAGTGAGCCTAGGAATCAGTTCACTTACCTTGCCATCTGGTATACCTGCTGCGCTAGGACCTACAGCCTGAAGGTAAGCCCTTGCCTTTGCTGTCTTTCTGCCTCTCGTGGCAAACATGCCACAAACTACTTACAAAAGGCTTGCTGTCACCACAAGCAGTATTAATTTATGGCCCACTAAGTTGGGGGGTTTCTGATGGTATTTTAGAATACCAGAAGAATCCGTCATATGAAATCAGTTTCTAGACAGCACAATGATACCAAATTCAGCCAGAGGCATGAATCATTTCCTCTTAATTCCAAAATGACATCTCAGTAGATCAACTTTTCTCAAGAACAATGGGCAAAACATGATGGAAGGCTTTTACCACCTCAAAATCTTACATGCAATCTCCTTTACTTAATTAAAATCCATGAGAATTCATTTGTTTAATAAAAACCTATGAAGTAGAGAACCAGACATCTGAACAATGGGCCCTTACAAGTCTTTAAGAGAGCTCTTTTTGGTTGAGATCTAGTTCTCTGGACTATGTTCCAGATTTCCATTTAAGATAGTTTCCACCAAGTATAGTACTACAATAGGTGGCCTTTCAGAAACCATCACAGTCTGTTCTGGAGTTCATCATCCTACGTGACTCAAAGGGAGTGGAATGGGCAGTGGGAAGAGTGGGAAGCCAGGGGTGGGGAAAGGATTTACAAAACAGCAAATACATTTCAAAGTCATAGTTCAGCTTTCAGGACCGGTCTTTTCATTGTTCGGAGATACCAGAAAAGCAGGATGCCATTATTTTCAGGGTTTTGATATATGATCAGATCCGACAAAAATGATTTTCTTATTAATAGTGTCCTACAGTTTTTAACTTTTAGTTCCGTCAGTGATTTTTTTAATCAACAATGCTATTTTCTGTGCTTAATGAGTCATGATTGAGTAAAGCACAAACATCACTCCTTTTCAATGACTAGGCAGCAAGACTGGTTTTCTTCTGTGTGCATTTGATCTATCCTCTTTGACAAGCAAGATGACAAATGTCTCTGCATTTGTGGTCTTCCTTCCTGTCTTTTATCATGCTCTCTGATGAAAAATATTAAACATGATACTAATGCTGCATAATCTCATCTTTTATAGTATACTTCCCTTTAAGAATTTAAATACTATAAAAATGCAGATCCTACCTTTGAAGAAAGTCTTCTTACTTGAAGATGTAAATTTTCTTTTTAATTCTTTAAGCCAAAGGTTGTCTTAGCATTGCTCTGTAAATTGAAGAGGGGAGGAAAATGTTAACTAGGCATCGGTTGTCATCAATCATAGTAGACTGTCAATAGGTTAACGGAGTCCCTGATGGGACACACAATTGCAAAGAGAGACCTGCAAGGAAGACAAATTACGAATACATTTGCCAAAACATCTTTCTGCTGGTTTCTATCAAAAGTGACACTGGAGAAGTGACCTGGGTGACTATACATCACCTTAATGGATAGTCTGACCTGTTTTCAATTTGGAGATGGAGGATTGTTTGGACAGATAGGCAGAAATACAGACAAGCAGGCAGACAGACAAATATACATACATACATGTAAACACATTTGAAGTAGAAAAAACACTCTCTGGTTAGAAGCTTATGCTTGGTTCTTAGGATTTCTAAGAAATTTAGGAACATAGAAATTCTTTTGCCTACATTTGTAGGCTCTGCTTCTCAGTAAGGATCACCAAGAGCTGAGAACAGCTAGAATCTGAAGAGAAAACCCCACCTGCACCAATGAGAAAGCTGAGTCACAGGCCACCCGGACTCTCCAGCCACAGCTCCTCTCCTCCATAAACTTCAGCATTCCCTGAGCAAACCTTCCAGAGAAGGGCTAACAGGGGAGAGACACCCCGGATGGGAAGCAGAGCAATCACACTGCGCACATCATATCTCATCCTTCAGTCAAGCAATTCAGTGCCTCCCAAGGCTTTCTAAGGGAGCGTTTGTATCTTTTTGGACTTGGTATTTTTGAAAACAGAACTCACACTATCAACCACTGAAAACATCTTTCAGAGAAGAGACACAAGAATCAATTCAGCCACCCTGGGCTGCATTCAAATGTTAGGACACCATGAACCACAAAATTACTCCAGAAATAAAGCAAAAAGACATGTAGTGAGTTCAACTGCTTCAGATTAAGCATGGGTTATGAAATTTTATGCTTAAGTAAAAAAAAAAAATCCCTTATCTCAAATACATCTAAAACTATCTTGAGTTTCCTTGCAACTAATGCATTATTATCAGAACAAAACCTTAGTTTTCTGAAAGTCAGTGATTTTTTTTAATTAAAATGACTTTTAAAGTAATAAAGATTTTTCTTTTCTAAACGTTTGATTACTACTTAAAAAGGAAGAAACCTCTAAAGGTGTGTACAAGAGAGTCTATAAAAATTTGAAGCTATGTCTACAGTAACAGCTCAACAGATGTACTTGAGGACTTAATATGTACATGTTGCAATAGATAGATATTGAACAATGAAATAAATAGAGCATAAGTAAGACACTTTTACTAGGAATTTCAGTTTACATGCTGATGGGACTGTAGCCTGAACTATCAGAGCCCACTATAAAATACAGTATTATGGAATATTGTGAGCCTTCAGAGAAAGGAATATTTAATTCTACAAGGAAGTTATAAGATGGCTTGGCACAGGAGGATCACTGACTAGAACCTTAAAGATGAATAAGAAAAGCATTCTGGGTACAGAGAACATCAGGTTTAAAGTAAATAGAAAGAGAAAGTGCAGAAAGTCTACCAACAGAGCAGTGGAAGAAACATCAGGCACAGTGGGAGGGATGGTGAAGTGGTAGATACACACACACACACACACACACACAATATATATATATATATACACAATATATATATGCTATTGCAGGAAAATACAAGTACAGTGAGCAGCAGCCAGCTTAGGAGTCTGAACTGTGACTGTATACTCTGAGAACATTTTGTGTCCTCTGAAGGTTTTAGATGAGAGGAAAGAAACTGTGTTATTTGTACAGGGAACTGAGGTGTGGTAGGAAGCAGAAAAGGAAGTCGACTAAGAGGTGTTTCGGTAACAAACATCTTTCTTCCCAAGCACCACCAGCTAGCACACATCCGAGTCCTTCTTGAGATGCTTCAGGACATACAGGTGGAAATAGTTTAACACAACGAGCATGTGCTAGTATTTCACACATTTTAATTTATCAACAAAATAATTTGCTATTGCTAATTTCTCCCACCCTGTGAGTACTCCTGTCCAGGTGTAGTTTTGTGAGGTCAGCATCTGGATAGAGTCTCTTTTCCCTTTTTCTGTCTCTGCTCTCATTCTTTCTTTCCTCTGCCCTTCTTCCTGGAGCATCCTGGCTCTGTGCTTCTGCCCTGCCCAGGACTTTAGTTGGGTAGGTTCACACAGAGTAGTCTTTGGCAATGAGAAGTATGTCAATAAAATTATGCTATTTTTTAGATGTGCCACTTAACATCTAATGAGATGCTTCTATAGCCCAGACTCAGTCCATATAACAAGCTATATATCAATTCTGTCAATTCATATCCCTTTGGTACAGAGGCAAAATTCAAGAACAGAGGGATTAAGAGTTCCAGTCACATAGCTGGTCAGCAATACAATTGGAAAACAAAATACGTTCTCTCTGATCCCCAAACCTGTGGATTTTCATTTGTTTTTTTGTTTGTTTCCTATTTCACCTTATAGTGTTTGAGACGAGACAAGGTTAAACTCACTATTGCCACAATTTCCGGAGAAGACAGCAGAAGAGTTCGTTGGTATAGGATTGTAATCCTAGCATTTGGGAGGCAGAGATAGGAGTTTTCAGAGAGTGGTAAAACCAAGATAGGATTAGAGGCAGTAAAGGAAGAAGAGTAAACTAAGTCAAAAGCTTCAGGAAGGCTTCAAATGTGTCTCCTCCAGGACCCAGCCCTGGCTGGGAGCTCCCTATGGCATACTCCCACATTGGTGAGCTAGGTTCAAAATCTGTGCAGTTATGCCACCATGTAGACTAAAGGTTGAATCCCCATGGCTCCTATCACAAAGCCTTTCTTGGCTTTCTGACAAGTAGACCTTGCAAAAAAAAAAAAAAACATTATACAAAAGTATGTAAACGCTGCAGAATAGGGTAGGGAAGAAAATACCTTTGAACATAGATTTTAGGTGAGATAAGAAAGGAGTGAGATTCTTTGGATAACATGTCGATTGTTATTTATAAATACAACACAGTCAAGGCAAGATGCTCTGACAGGAACATATCTTCAGTCTTGCATAAGTGTGGTTCCAAGACAGTGTAGGGAAGCGATTTCATCCTCTGGTTTGTGTATTACCAACAAAGAATCAACAACTCAAGCCTGCCGTGACAATTTCAAGCCCTGAACACCAACCACCAAAATAGTATGTATCAATTGTACTACCATGTCAACAATTATGGCAAACACTCCTAGGAAGTGAATTTTTGTTACATTCACTCATTACTCTTGCAGTGACAACTGCACCCATGGCTTTCATCGCTTAGAAATGCATTTAGGTCAGCAGAACAGGGCAATTCATCATCGCTGTGAACTGTTTTACCAATAACCAAGTAACAATTTAATTTTCTTTCCCAAAATGCAATCAATTTATCATATTAAATAAAACTAATCCTAAGTCAAAAGGTCAGGAAGAAATTTCATGCATTTCAGAGGTAGCCTTCAGAGAAGATGAATGACAGCTAGGTGAAAACCAAATGCAAAGGCCATTGCACGCATAATAAACCAATTATAGTAACCGGGAGTCAAACGTATTTAGCAAAATTGCAATAATTCATAAAAAGAAAATTCTTGCCATAGCTGCTTTGCCCTAAAGTGAACTGCTATGATGGACCTATTTTTTATTTTTTGCAGCATTTCCTTGTTTTATTATAAAATGAGAATCCATAGCACCCAATGTAACTACAATCTACTATTACATACACAATTAGGCAAGAAGTATCAGCAAATGTGGACACTCATGATCTCACGCAATTCATAATCTGTGGTATAATTATGAAGGCATTCTAGATTTAGAGGCTGAGGTATAAAGGTCAGGCCCCTCACTGACAGAATGCTGTTATCAGATTAGACCCCTCACACCAATTTTAGTTTTCAGTTGAGACAATGATTTTTTTTTTGCTTCTGATCAAGAAAAATAGAGTTGTGAAATACTTCTCAGAACATAATATTGAAAAATTGTCTCTTGTGATATTTTATGTGAGTGTACACACCCATATTATGTCTATGATGTGGAATTCCCTCTGTGTGCTATGAATATGTATTGTTACCATTGGTTATTAAAGAAACTGTTTCGGCCAATGACTTAGTAGAGTAAAGCCAAGCAGGAAATTAGAACAGAGATAGAGAGAGAAAGTAGGCTGAGTCTAGGAGATGTCATGTAGCTGCCAAAGAAGAAAGGCGCCAGCCACCAGCTAGAACCTTACCAGTAAGCCACAGTCTTGTGACAATACTCAGATTAATAGAAATGGGTTGATTTAAGATGTAAGAGTTAGCTAAAAATATGCCTAAGATATCAGCCAAACAGTGTTGTAATTAATACAACTTTTATATGATTATTTGGTCTGAGCAACTTGGAAATGAACAAGCAGTCTCTGCCTACATGTATATATGTAGCATAGAATTATCTTGTTCTACTTAAAAGATTTGTTTAGCTTTATTTATTTTATTTTATTTGTGAGGGTTTTTTTTTACCTGAATGTATATGCACAAAGTATGTGGCTGGTGACCAAGAAGATCAGAAGAGGGGATTGGGTCCCCTAGAACTAGAGCTGTGGATGGTTGTAAACCACCATGCTGGTATTGGGAATCAAACCCATGTCCTCTGACAAGAAAAACAAGTGTTCCTAATCATTGAGATATCTCTTAAGCCCCATTTTCCTTTATATGCCCACAAAATTATAGTAATTTGTAATTAAAAATATATGTCTTTGACTTTGCCAAAAGTTTAATACATAATCTTAGGCTAGTCCTTAAACTTTTCTTTTTAAATTTTCTGCTTTTGACATTTCAGATTGAACTCGGGATCTATTCCTACGTATTAACTGGGGAGAAAAAGATAAGCTCTCCTATTAAAACTGATGTTTATCTCATGTTTCTCCAGCGTGTGCCTACCATACAGTAACCAATTTGGGCATGGCAGAAAGCCAAACTAATCTCGAAGCCTAGTTCTCCCCCATTTCAGCACCTATGAAAAACACATTTCAAACT